ATGCCATTTATGGTGAGCATATACTGTATCTCAGAACTGCATCTTGCCCTTAACATTTGCTTTATCCTTTTTTTGCCCTTAGGCTGTTTGACAGTGCAGTGCTAAAGCTGCAGCATACATCCCCTTACATTTGCCATACCTTAACTTGTGTTCTCTAAACTGCTGTACTTATTACAGCTTCCTCAATTGTCCCTTGATGTGCCAGGCAGCTGTTATGCACCCACTGCTACCCAGTAATTGTATTTCTGGGCATGCGTACATAATTTTACCTTGTAAAATACTTTGACTTTTTTCTTTGGATTTCCAGAAACCATACAGGCATGAAATACTGTCATCTGGAACTCAGTACACAGGCTATGGAAGCAGTTTTTTAGGTTTTCAGAACTTCTCCATTCTTATACATGCAGCCAAAGTGACCACGTTCTTCTAATGGAAGCATCTACAAAGGGCTACATGACATTTTGTGTTTAATGTGCTTTTTATGTAAATCTAATTAAGGCTTTTGTTAGTCTCTCAGATTTAAAGCAGTAACAGCTAGGAACAGCCCTTCCAAGCAAGTGTTTAAAGAAATTGCAAATGGTACCTAGGATTTTCAGTAATAATTTATCATTATATGTTCACATAAGTTAACAAAATAGAAGAAAGGTAATTTTCCTTAGAAAAAGAAATGAGACAGATGAAGGACTCTGAACTTGGGCAGTCTTCCGTAGGAAGCTGATGTCCACATCCTGACAGTGATCTGACAAGAGCCAAAGTCAACTACCAGATCAGTGGTGCTCAGCTGATTCCCAGCTACCTGAAATGCCTATGGTCCAGCCTGTGGTGGTTTGATTTCTCACTGCTCACAAGCCAGTACATCTCGTAACAAGAGTGGTTCTCTCATGGCCTGTCTGGATGCTACTTTTAGGTAAACAGTCTTCTTTCTGCAACCTTAAATATTTCAGTTTTTCTTACTGCTTATAATGCTAAAAGAAGTACCTTGTTATTGTACTCTAGTCATCTCTCAGCCCCAGTATGCACATTTACCTCTTTCATTCATCCAGAGGCGTCTGTCCCCAAGCACAATGGATATTTCTCTTCTTTGCAGAAGTCTCTAAAACTGTCCATACATACACTCTGATTAGGTCCCTGGGACAGATCGCCCAATTCCAAGCACAGCCTTCCTAGAAAACCAGACATATATAAAATATCATTTCCCTGTTTCAGTAAAAAATGCCTCTCCACATACAGCGCAGAATTTGGTATCAGCTTGGTTTTCCCCAGACACAGTAACCTCCAACTTATGTTCAATTTGCTTTCCACAGATGCTTTTTCTTCTCTGTAAGTGTTAGCACTGTCTGCAATTTACACTCAATTCAGTATTCAGCTATGTCGTTCATTTGCTGTGAAATCATGGTTAATCTGTCCAAGATCTGTGAAGTGACCTCAGCAAAAAACTGGAGCGAGAGGAGAATCAGAACCTCTAGTTCACTCCTCTGAATGTCTTTTTCTTATGCTTCTGCTCTTTTCCTCCCTATGCATAGTTACTGACACTAACAAGAACTCCAGTTTAATCTCTTCAGATTTTATTAATCGACAAATTTTTTTCATACTTGTGTAACACTAACGATCATAAACCAAACCCAACTTTTATATTGCCTATACACTAAGATAGCAAAGGTAATGTTTTTGCCCCACATTGTCTGACCTCTTCTGTTTGTTTGTTGGGATATTTTTAACATTTCTTTTTGTGCCCACTTTAACTAGCTCTCATTAACTTTACATTTGACATTTTTAATATAAATGTATTTTTTTACCTTGATCTTTGATCTTTACTTAGTCTTGTAGAACACTATGGTGACCACATTTGTGGTCACTTTCTTCTACTTTCTTCTACTTTCTTCTCCTGGGAAATTACACACAGCAAAATTTAATTATTCTGACAGGTTTTAGGATTATTCAGCATTGTCAGTTCTTTTTTTTTTTTGCTTGGTTGTTAATGTTAGGTTTTAGCTATCCTCTACTTACAAGATGTTAGATCGGTCCTTTATGTCTGATCATAAGATCTGATCAGCCTTTTTTTTTTTTCCCACTGATCTAATTTATTGTTTTCTCTTATTCAATTGAAATCATACTCCTAGAAGGCTACACCTCTCTCCCCACTGGTGGGGGGTTTTGTTGGTGGTTTGGGAGAGGAGGTTGGTTGTTTGTTTGTTTGGGGTTTTGTTGTTTAATTGGAGGGAGTAGAAAGTTTGCTCTTGTTTCTCTTAAACACAGTATTTGGAATTTTCTTTTATGGCAGGATGCAGCATTTGGGGATTTGCAAAATGAAATTGATTGATTGAATCTGTGATCATTCTACTGGTTTAGGGCAGAAAGAGACATTTAGCAACTCCTCCATTTAGGAAGCTAAATGGCCAAGATGTCCCTACGTTATCTGTTTTGTGTGTGTTTGTTCTGAATGCCTGTATGAGGGCTGATTGTTTCAAATCTATAAATAGTATTTTAAAATTTCACAGAAGGTACCCAACTACTTCCACAAGAAAATGCATTTTGCTGCTTTTGTGAAAACCTGCCTGTATTTGGTACAAACACAGAACTCCAAAATACATAGTTTTCCTTTGTCTGTTAGAGCTTGGTGGCTAAAATCACAGAAGCTGCCTTCTGCAGAAACCCTGTTGTGGTACCGCATGGGCCCAGCCATGTGGACCACAGAGCAGCTACCATGGCATGATGCCACAGCTCTGGGCTAAGAAGCCCTTTCTCTGCAGCAGTCTTGGCCTAAGAAATTAAAAATCTGGGCACCAGAACCATCAGGAGATCTGTTCCATGCTGTCCATGCTCTCTTGCCTGGGAAACAAGGAAAAGAAGGAGGCAGCCTATGAAGAGATGGATCACAGTGGAATAAGGGAATGAGGAAAATAAAAAGAAATCAATAGGCATGAGTATTTATGGGAATTGTTTGTGTGTGCACATATGCATCCATACATAGAAATATATGCATGTGTTTTGTATATTTACGAAGAGGCATGGGACAGGACTGAGTAGAAGCAGAGGAAGACAGAGAAGGTCAGAGTCCACTCAAGACTTTTAACCATGCAAGCAAAATTGAGGAAGGGTCGGTCTATCTCTTCAGAAACATATGGCAAGTACATCATCTAAGAAGTGGAAACAGACTGCACAAGGTTTTCTAACACAACCTTTTTCTAACAGACTTCTCTGTTTTCAGGTGCTTATTAAGAGAGCTGTGCACATTTACACCAATTAGCAGATGTACCTAAATTTATTTTTCTCACCTCAGTTCCCCTTCTAGTCTGCAGCACCCTTTCAGAGCCCTAGGAACTACAGCTTTTCCTCAGAACAGTTTGCTGCCTCTGACACTGATGAGTCCCTCTAATAAAACAGAAATCTCCCCCTGAAAGAAATCCTATCAGTTCCTTTCTCATTTATTGTAGCGACTCTTCACTGTCCACAGTCTCTCCAGCTTTTTTCTCTTCTGACTCTCTATCTACTTTTTTGGTCTTGTCGTTACTATTTGTCTCTATTTAAACCACACATCACTCTTTTTTTAACAGCAGTGCCATTCACCAAAATCTTCAATCTGTACGTGAATATGCATATCTCATCCACCAACACCCAAACAAGCATCTTTCATTCTGCAGTAGCTAGTCATTGAAAATTTACTTTACAATTGATGTAGTGTTTAAGCATCGCTGTTTTGGAAATTATATAAAAATGAATTACACTTTATTTTGTCTAGAATATTGAATACAGATTGGTAATTTCAATTTAAAAGGTGCTGAACCTGTTTTTCTTTAGAATGAGCATAGCTCAAACAACAGCAGTTTTATCTGCCTCACTTCTAGCATTGAGGAGAATGCTCCACCATCTTCTCTATTACAGATTCTTGTGGATTTTCTCCAGCAGCCACTTACGACAACTGCAAGCTTGTTTTACCCTGGGGATATATATCTATGTGGCCAGTTGCTTCAGGTCGTTTTCCTTCCAAATGGAAGTCAGTTTGACAGCTATTAATTTGCACTTGGCCATTCCCTGTGTTATTTTGCTCTAATTATTGGTCACTATAATGAACAGGTGACAAATGCCTACATGAGAACCCTTTATATCACTAGATGTACAATCATTAGCAAAACAAACAGACAGGGTTGTTAAATACTAGTTTTCTCTCCAGCCCCAAACAGAAAGAGATTTTAGCCAGGTTTGACATCTATTGGAAAGGGATGGAAAGAGGCGACAACACCTTACTGTTCATGAAACTAGCATGCCATGCTATAAGTGTCCTAGTTTCAGGGAAAACAACACAAAATTGCTCTAAGACCAGATGCAGAATCTGGTTTACCTAATGATTTTGTTGCAAGGTTCGCTTAGGTGTTCTTTACTAAGTAAAACTAAATGTGCCTACTAAAATATTTCCTCTGACCTTCAGCTCCTACAACTATATCAAATTAAAGCAGGCAAAAAAAAAAATCCTTTCTGAGCAAGGAAGTGCTTGCTGAACAAGAATGGCAAAACACCATGATAGTGAGCTTCCCTTCCACTGAAGTGTGGCATTGCAGAGAGTATTTAGTTGAAGTCTGTTTTCTCAGACTTCCGGGGCCTAACTTGGATCTTAATTTGGGCCAGATTCTCTAAGGACGTGAGCAGAAGTCTTGTTTTGTTCTTGGGAGTAGTAACTTTTGAATTTTTGCAAGATGATAGACCTTGTCTGTAGTGAAAATTATGAATAATTCAGTCAATCTCAGTGGAGCTGTGCTAGTGAAAACAAGAAAAGAGTCAGCATCTTGGAGTCTTGGTGAAATTACTGCTTTTAGATCTGTGAGAGCTGAAGATATTACATGCTATTTGAATGATGTCTTGTAAACCATGCTAAAACAATAATACAGGTAAACCACACAGAAATAGTGTGGTTCCCATGGTTTACTAAGACAATCTGAACGTAAACTCATTTCTAAATAACATCCAACTTTTTTTTTTCTGTTATTTTTGCCTTTTAAAAATAGGTGTAAGTGCAACCTTCATGCTACTGGCTGTAAAGAAGAAAACAAAAGACTACTTTGTGAATGTGAGCATAACACAACTGGCCCAGACTGTGGAAAATGCAAGAAGAATTACCAGGGCCGACCGTGGAGTCCTGGTTCTTATCTGCCTATACCTAAGGGCACTGCTAATATCTGTAAGTAGTTCTATATCATAGGGTTATTTCATCATTAGAATTTTGCCTTGTATCATGACTCTGAAGGAAGATTAATACTGACAAAAGTTTGTCAGTTCTTTATGACCCAGTGCATATAACTGGACAAGGTGTCAAATTGTGTTAATTCTCTGTATACGTATCGATGCTCTCACATGGTTGTAAATAACTTGCACGAGAACTGCATATTTATATCCGTAGACAAATCTTGTGACACTGCACAGAAAGGGCTAAGGAATGAAAGAATGAAGGAAGTTAAGTAATCTCAGACCAAAGTTTTTCAACTAATAGCTAAAGATCTAGCAGTTGGTAAAGGAAAGTTATTGACAGTTGCATTTCCTGGTCCTGGACAGGATTGGGCTGAAAAGAACATGCTGCTGAAAGAGAGGGCACAAAGACAAGTACAAGCATCAGTTCTTCCTTTCATGCATCTATGAAATACACAATAATTTAGAACGTTTCTGAATAGCAGACTTAAATTCCTTTGAAGAAAGGATTGAAGAAGATGAGGATAAATCACCAAACCTTTTGACAGAAGTTACTAGCTCAAGAATAGTCCACAGTTTTGTCCTGATTAAAAGCAAAACATTCATTTTAAAATATTAGAATATAACAATTTACTGAAAAGTTATTTGGGAGAAACAGAGATATGTACTGCAGTTGAATGAAAAGTTTTTAAAACCAGGAGCAATGTGCAATGCTCAGAATGTTATCTAAGACTTCAAAGCAGCAGCTGTGAAGAATCAAACCTCAAAAATTAATATCATAGGAAGCAGGACCTTATCAAGTTTAATGTGAGAGTAATAGACCAAGTAACAAACCATGAAGTGCGGGAGCATGAAATTATGATAAAAATTTTACTGAGCAGAAAAAAAATGAACTTCCAAAAAGCAAGGGAAAAACATTTTGTAAGAGTAGTCACTTTCTCATGTTATAAAAAATGAGTGTGGATCACGAGCTTAATACTTTAAAGCTATGTTCAGAAAAAATGGTGAGATTTACCAGGTTGGGTTTATTCATATATTTTATATATACATATACACACATACATACGTATGTATGCACACATATACATTTCTTTTTTATATATATACATATATGTATGTGTGTGTATATATATATATAAAAATATATAAAATGCAGTTGCTACCCCAGCAATCATCTAAACTAGTGACAAGATACATCTGAACATTGGGAATCTTTCTAAATGCAGCTTGCTATGTCAGTTACATCATTTCCAATCAGTTGAACACACACCAGACGGAACAGTGGAATTAGTGCCCACCAAAAGGATGCCTGAAGCTTGTTAAAGCAGCTTTCAACATTATTGAATTCCATCTGATATACAATTCCATCAATAATCGAAACTTTTTGCAAATAATAGACAGTCTTTTCTGGGTTTTACTATTATTATGATATCATCATGAAAATGTAACCTTGTTTGAACTGATGAATACTCTACTTACCCTCAAATCTTGACTTCAGTAGTGATCAGCAGCAAAAAAAAGGAATTTATGGCAAACAGGAAGAAGTATAAAAGTTTTCTTCTTTGCCATCCCAGCTGCCAGCAATAAACTGTCTTTCTGAGCTGGATCCTCCATCTTAATCACAGTGTTTGCTAGCTGCTGAGCAGAGGCCCAACTGTCATAAGCTTGAACTCAGTGACATCTTATGGCAATTCATTTCACATTTTAAAGACACAATGAGTGAAAGGTATTTCCTTTTGTTTGCTTTAACTGTTTTTATATGGTTAAGTCTGTACCTCCTTAGATAAGAAGAAACAGAATAATGCATCCCTATTTAAGCCCGTTACACCATTCCTGGTTATAGAGAGTTGACATGTCCACTCCTCCAGCCTGTTTTTAAATGATGAATCCTAATCTATTTAATCTTGACATACACAAAACCATGCCACATCTCTGGTCATCAGTGATGGTTCTGTGATGTCATTTTTTAATTTGATGAGGCTGAAACTACATGTGATATTCTAGACATGAGAACAACATGAATTTTTTACAATAGCATAAAAATATGTCTGCTTTCCATTTTGTTATTACAGTGATCAGCCCTTGAGTCCTTTTTCAATATGGTGCCACAGTTAACAACATTTCTTCTGGCACTGAGACTGACATAAATGACAGGTTATACGTTACAGTAGTTAGTTTGGAAATGTCATATTTTAGTTCATTTAAAACACTTCCTGGTTGAACATCACCTATGGCAAATCTTATTGTTTGATTTTATTTACATCTACTAACACACCTTCACATTATGATAGACATTGAGAAATGTCCTCAGATTGTGAGAATCTCTCTAAACCTTCTTTGTTGTGAACATCAGTGAAAACAATTAATTTAGTATTCAGTACTTTAATACCTTGATTGCCTCTCTACCCAGTCATTTCTCTGAGATGCCTCCTGCTTTTAGAGTGGCTATTTTAACAAAAAGGTATTATTAACTTTTATGTCTGTAGCAAATTGATTCTCAAAATACTGTGGTTTATATTTAACTTAACAGATTTTATGCTTTTTTTTTTTCTCCCTATCTTTCTTCATTAAGATACTGAGATGACTTCATGCTTTCCAAAATCTTCATTCTGGTGAAGAATGAACACCCATTTTGGATTGGGTGTTGGGTTTTTGTGGTTGTTTTTTTTATTTTTGGTTTGGGTTTTTTTGGTTGGTTTTTGTTATTGTTGTTTATAAGATAGTTAATTTTTATAATTTAAAAAAAGATGGGTTATATGTGATTATTCTGAGTCTTTCATACATTTTAATCTGCCTCCATGCTGTTGGTGTTAAACCTTTTTAGCTATTCTTTTAATATTTCTTCTAAATAAGTAATTTTATCTGCTCACTCTCTGAAAGTTAAATACTACTACAGTGGATTTTTTTTTCATCCTGTTCCTTCTGAACAACTATGTTGACTTTCAGTCCAGAAGTGGTTCTTTGATAACTGTTTCTCGAATTGGGTCCTATGTACTAGTCAGAACTAAATTGGCTTCTCTTTTTGTGGGTTGTCTGATTACTTTCTACTAGAAGCAATCATTTATGGTATGTAAAAGCTTCATTTCTTTTGCCATTTCCTGATCTAATGCCACATATATTGGAGAATATGAATTTTTGCATCTTTGTATAAACTCCACACATCCAATGTAATTTCAATTACCCTGTTGAGTTTATGTCACCATCTCCATCGTGTGGTCAGCAATGCAGCACTATACTCTCCCTAGTCAGGAGTGAATTCTGTAAATAGCTGCTGGAACATGTTGATAGAATTGATTTCTCTGGTTTGACCCTATATTTCCCTTGATATATTACTTTAATTCCCTGGGGACACTTTGTGTAATCCAGTAATATAGTATCCCTTTGATACTCTTCCTTCATCCAATTTTCAGAGTCTCTCTTTTCCACCTAAGGCCAAAATATTTAAAATTTTAAAGGGATTTGAAGGTTTTGGGTTTTTTTTATATGAGTGTGCTTTAATAAGATACAGCTAAAAATAGTTGTATCAATGAAACACTCAGAAATTTTTGGAGGTTTGATTGGTTTTGTTTTGTTTGGGGATTTTTGTTGGCTGGTTTGGGTTTTGGTTTTTTGGGGTTGGGGGTGTTGGTTTTCGGTTTGATTGGCTTTTCGCCCCCACAAAATAAAAAGATCCTTTTTATTTTTTCAGAAATCCTCTGATTTTGGAGATTTGGTCAGGTTCAACAAGAAGCCTAATGTCTATTTCCAAATCTTTCCCAACTGGAACTTAAGTTGTTTCCACTGTTCTGCTTCTACTACCTTTTTTTTTTTTTTTTTTTTTTGGCCAATAAAAGTTTTTTTCACTTTATTTTACTCCTACTACCTTTTTTTTTTTTTTTTTTTTGTGGCCAATAAGACTTTATTACACTTTATTTCAAGCTACAGATCACGAAATACCATCCTAGACTATACTTCAGGCACAGCCTAAGCCTTGATATAAACCTGGTTTTTGTATCCTTCTCATTTTAAGTCAACATGAGTTTTTCAGGAAAACACAAAACGTTTTTGCTTTGCTTTGCTTGTGAAAGACACCAAGTACTCTGTTGTTTACTGGCACTAACAATATTTCCGCATTTGTCTCCTGCATAGCATTTATTTTATATTTTCTCTCTATCATATTGACGATTTTGTGATTACATTTATGCCCTTGTGCTGCTACATTCTATGGATAGTTTTTTCTGCAATATGTTTTGACACTCAAAGTGAACTTACGGAATTTCTTTATACTTGGTAGTACAAGACAGCTTTTCTCCTCAGCAGTTGTATGTGTCTGACAGCACTAGTCCTTTTCTTCTTCCTGTTGTTTAGATCATCTTTGGCACTTACGTTCTTTGCTCAATCAGACAGAGTTGTCTAAGTCTGTCTGGGCTGCCATCCATCAAAGCCTGCTAGCTTTTTGTCAGTCCCTCTACAACCAATAACCTGTATGAGAACTGCTTGACACTCAGCAAAAACTGCCTCCTAGCTGTTACATGGCTTTTCCAATTCACAGTTCAATGTGACAAAAAAGGATTGAGCGGGACACAGGGAACGTTGGTGGTTCTTTTCAGTCAACAGTTAGGCAGATAGATAGTCCCAATCAGTTTACCGAACTTCTCCTGCAGGGGGTCATGTCCCCCTTCCCATCTGATAGTACGGCCTTTGTCTCAGCCACACAGCCTTAATCCTCCCTGGATGGGAACAGACGTAAAAGGCATTACTGCAGCATACCTGCCACATAAACATTTGTGACAAAAAATATATGGCACTTCAGGTATTGCACTGATTGTCTTCATCCATGTTTGTAGTTTTCCCCATGAATATTTGCTGACAAAATGCCATCTGGAAGGACTGGCGTAAATTAAGTTGCCAGAGAGGTTGTGGGATGGACAGGCTTTCTATTCAGGAATCCAAGTAGCATAGATCCCTGTTACTGAAAAGATCACACATCCTGCTGTACCATCAAAGCAGACTCAT